GGCACCTGTTACTACTAATAAGGCACCTGTTACTACTAATAAGGCACTTGTTTCTACTAGTAAGGCACTTGTTTCTACTAGTTTCTTGTTAGTAAGGCCCTTTGCTCCGTAGCGATGCCGACTTTCGCCTCTTCGAGCTCCTCGTGTGCCGCATCTGACCGCCGCGAGGCACTTAACGAGAGTTCCGCAGGTCGCAATTGCTCCTTCAAACGGCAAACCGAAGGCCGAAACAGTGAAGACAAACCTCCCCTTTGCGTCTAAATTCGCCGTGTTTCGAAAATCGGAGAAAAAACAGAAGGGAAGGGGCAGGGGAAAGGGAACAAGGGACCTTGTGGTGAATTCCACTAGGGACGCTCTATGCATGCCCGTGAAGAATTTGTCCCTACAAGTGAACATGAACATAGGTCGTGGCCTTGATGTTCTAAAGGCAGCCCACAAAAAACGCATCATAAAACATCTTTCAGAATCTGCATGAGCAAATCAAATGCATCTTTGAAGTGCCCCAATGGACACTACCACCGACAAAAAGAACAACGAGAGAAAGACAGATTAAAAAACGAAGCCAAAACAAAAAAGAACGACACAAAGAAAGACAGAACCAAAGAAAAACAGAAAGAACGAAAGCCAGAAACAAAGAAACGGACAGAAAAACAACGACAATTTGCAGAACAAATGCAATTTACATAACAAGGAAAAGACAGAGACAATGAAAGACTTGGTAGCGATACTTTTGAACTGCGAAAAGGTGCACCTGCGGTCAAGCTCAAATCTGTACATGTGGTGAGTGCTCAAATCTTCATTCCGCTCTTGCCTGTGCTGCTGCTTGAAGTGGAGCTTAGCATGTTCGTTGGGGCATATGCGCAGCATTCACATGAGCGGTATGTTGTGACGCTCTTGGCCACTTTCAACTTTGATCATGTACGTGTCACATGAAAGACACTGCCATGACCTGCTATGTACACTTCCTTTCCGAGAGGTGTCTTTCGACTGTATTCGTCGATCAGGTCAGACAGGTACAAATTTTGGCGTTTCACACGCTTCAACTCTTCGTTCTCCTTCACACTGTGCTCCAGCTCTCGGTGAAGTGCCGTGTTCCGCTTGTTGCGGCCATCAATCTCACATGCCATAGTCCTTCGCACTTCATGCAGCTCGATGTCACGATCTTCCAAAATGGCTTTCGTGTCCTTGAGCTTTTGCTGGAGCTCGATGATGTCCTTGTCACGGACCTTGATCTCGTGGATCATCGTGCGGCGCACATTGCTCTGTCTCTTCTTCCTGATCCTTCAGGGCTTCTGTGAGCTCGTTGATCTTCTCTTGGAGCGCTGCGGCCATGGATGCCGTCGTGGTCGTCAGGGTCGTGGTGTCCTTCTCAGCTTGATTCTTCTGTCCCATCAAGCTGCTCATAGCGTTGCCGAGACTACCGATCACGATCACGAGAAACTTCCACAGCAAAATGGCGATCACTGCTGTCGAGCCAACAAGTCCATAGAAAAACATGTTCGATCCTTCAGGCTCTTCGTTCACGGTGCTACTTGTCACCAACATGAGGTTGCCGAACACAAACAACATGAACATGGTGTGAGGTGAGGCTCGAAAGGAGGTCGAACTTGCCGAAGGTGAGATGAATCTCGAATCACCCTCTAGGAGATCAGTTTCAATGATCTCTTGATCCAAGACCGGAAGACGTCTTGCTTTGATCACGTGTGTGCCAGTGTTTGCAAAACGAACGATGCCGGTCGACTGAAGGTGCAGGAGGCACGGTGAAATCATGCTTTTAGTTAGTGCATCTGCTGTCATGGATTCGGTGGGAAACCGAATCAAAACTATCCAGCGAATGCGACCAACTAGTCTGGCTTCCCGGCGGGCTAATATGTAGATCCTCTGACCCTTATCCTGGGGCAACGACTTACTACCCGTACTCAACTCAAAGAAGTCGTTACAGTCAGTATAAACATCAACTGGAAGAAACGGCGCCCCACGTTCTTGAAGTGAGGCGAGTTGCTGTAAGGAGGGTGCAGGCTCGGCGATCAGGATTTCGCCCAAGCGAAGTGCAACCAGTGTTGCGGATTCCAAACCGTTGATGGCTGCTAATGTCTCCCCATGGGAGGTCGAGTAGGAGATTCGTTTGGCCTTGTTGCCTTGCGACCATAGGATGTGAGCCGGTCCACCAAAGATGCCAGGATTGCTGTTCTCTCCATCTATGTTGTGAACTCTTGGATCCAGGTCGAGGTTGTCAGTGGTGAGGAGCACCAGGATGCCTTCATTGGCATAGTTCCTTTCTTTAGATGCTGCGCTTGCATCGTGTATGCAGGCTATTCGCAGCTTGTCGCTTCTCTTGAAGAAGCGGAAGATGATGCCGAGGGAAATCATCTTCTTGTCCTGGGCTTTCTTCACAATTGAGTTGGCCATACGAAGACGCTTCACCTTGGCCTGAGTGACAAAGGTCTGCAGTTGGCAGACGTCGGCAATGAGGTCCACTCTTGTAGCGGTCAACCACAAAAGGCCACCTAGGATGGATCGAAAAGAGGTTACCTCTTCTTTGACCAGTGTTCGATCGTCCTTGTCGTTCTCTTTGATCTGGACCGTTTTGAGGTTCTCAGCGAATTCTGTTTGATCCACAGAGTAGCCTTGTGTCATCTTGTTGTAGCGACAGCCGCAGTGAACAAAGGGCATACCTTGTCTTGGCACCTTGTCAAATTGGACTTGGAACTTCCGGTGCATATTGTCGATGGCCAGTGGATCAGCAGCTATTGCGATATCATCTACCTGCGTGGTCAAAATCATGCTGGGAGCGCCAGTGGGTGTCTTCCAGAAAAACATGTTTTCGTCAAGCTGGCTTTGTACTCCACCGCACGACTTGAGATATTCGTGCAAACATAGCTGCCATGCCAGAGGTGCATCACTCAAGCCATATATGGGTTTCTTGCACCAAAGAAGCCATTCGTGGATCTTGTCCTCGGCGACTTGAACTTGTCGCTTAGTCTGCCGAGGTGTCGCCAGACATTGGCAGGTGGTTGAATGACCACTGCTCTCGATGGACTTTTGATGCCACGTTCATTCAAAAGCTTCTTCACCTGGTTGAAGGAAAGTCCTTTGAGGAAGGCGCCAGAAACGTCCAATGATTCCACTGCCAGCTGGAAGACTGCTGCCAGTGAGAGGAGGATCCTTTGCGACAGTCGTGTTGCCGTCGTCGATCTTGTGGTCATTGATGTCTTCTGTGGATCCATGAATCCTCTTGCACATTGCCTGGATTTGGCTTTCATCTTCTTCTCTGGAGTTCTCTTGTACTTGCGAACCCAGGTGCAGTCCACCAGGATCATCTCTTGTGTCAACTGGTTCACGTGCATCTTGTCAAAGGCGTCCTCGTCCACGAACTGTTTGATCTCCAGAAAGTCTGACTCTTCAAAGTCGGCCCAGTGCTTGGCCAATTGTTCTTCTGTCAGGACGTCTGTGTCACTGTCCACTCTAAAGACCTCTTGTGTTCTAAGGTCTACGTGAAAGTATCCTTCTGTCTTGCCGTAGTAGTGGAACAGCAGTTTCTCGTCCTGAGGTGTTCTGGTAGCCAAGGATGATGTTGGTGGATCTGGTAGTTCTGGATCATGTTCATTCCACCATTCATGCACTGGTTCCCATTGGATCATTTGTCTGTGCTGAGCCATGTACCAGAGGGACTTGGCCATGAGCTGACTCTCTGAGATGACGAACTCGATGCGCTGCCTTTTCTTTTCTGGAGCTAGCACCACTGTTCTTGTTTCTGGACTTTCTCTTTTCTTGTTCTCTGAGGTGTCCATCTTGCTGTCGTCATTGTCATTCACATCCATAGCTTCATTGGTGGTCCTTGCAGAGGTTGCTGCAGGAGGAACTTCTTCTGAGTAGATGATGTAGTAGTAGAAGTAAATGAAGCATACATGGTCGTGGTTGCGGTGCAATACCTTCTTCAACTTCAGATGTTGATCACTGTTGTGTTCGGTCATCTGCTGTGAACCTTCAGGCCAGCAAATGAGGATGCCCTTGGAGTACTTTGGGACATAGATGTTCTTCATGGCCTTGCCATAGCAGATACCGTGTAGAAATCGTTTTGTCAGAAGCTTTCCAACAGCGATTGCTTGTTCGAGCACTTGATGATCTTGTGGTGTCATCTGTATTGGCACTTGTTGTACTTGTCGTGTATGTTGTTTCGTGTCTATCTTCATGAGCTGTCCAATGATGTGCATTTTGTGAGGCGCACATTCTTCAACCATCTTTTGGAGCTTCATCAGGTTGTCGTCCAAGTCGTAGGTCTTGTTGTCAGAGTGGTAGATCATGAATGATCCTCGAAATGGACGGATGTGCCGCAAGCTCGTGAGATATGGTCTGCCCTGGTACTCAACAATGCAGCTGCCCTCGCTTTCATTGACTTTGAGAAGAAGCGCAGGGCCTCGCCATCCATGGTTTCCATCTTCACGATAGATCTCGACCGTGGTGGAGCCAACAACCATTTGGCTGAGATCAACTTTCTCTGGTCTAGATCTGGAGGCTCTTGTGACTCTGTCTTCAAGGATGGATGCTTGTGCTGACTGGAGCGCTATTTGGCGAAGTCGCGCTGCTTGTTCCAAATTGGTGTGTCCAGCATCTTGATTGCTGACTGCCAGAGGTGTTTCTTCAGGATCAAAGTATCCTCTGGGAAGAACTCCAAACAGCATCATCGAGGGCGTGTAGCCACCGAAATTCATGGTCTGGTTCTGTGCCATGGCTGCTTCAGCTGCGGAATCATCAGGTTCCAGAGAAATGCCGTAATGTGCAGCTTCTGCTTCGATCTTGGCCATGGTGATCTTGATGAGACCAATGTGTCTTTCTGCCAGACCAGTGCCGGTGTGCTTCTGTCCTTCTTTTCCTGATGTGGTTCGCATAGGGATGCGAGCAATGCCAACTCTTTCCAGTTCTGCTCCTGCTTCAACGGTCATCAAGCAGCTTTCTTGATCGGTGACCAGCTTCTTCATAGGTCCGAAGTATCGGATCCATTTGGTGTTGATCGCCTGGAGATATTGATGGAGCTCTCGTCCTGGAAGTATTGATGCAACCTTGTATCGAGTAGCTTCATCAATCATCAGGAGGAACAGGTTGCCTCGCCAGTGGTAGTTGTCAATCTGCACCGTATCATTGAACTCCTGTGCCAAGCCCATCTTGTATTGTGGTCGTTTTGAGGCTCTGACATATTTTCTGC